TCAGGATCAAATCTATAGCTGCAGATTGATTGGTTTCCTTAGGTCACACACTGCATAACAATTTATCATTAAACAATTTCTCCTGTGTTCGGAAACTATCATTTTGAAGGCACAGGCTTCCAGTTTCTCCAAGTGTGCTCAAAAAGGTCTTGGAGGTCTTGTTCATCTGCCATTTATAGGTGGAACATGTTTTGCCAGTGGCAGAGAGGTAGAAGAATCAGAAACACGGATATAACTATAATCACAAAAGTCAAATTCCTACCCCACCTGATACAGGATAAGAAGTCTTGCTGAAAGCACCTGAAGAGGTGACCCAAGCAACCATGCTCCAGACATCTCAGGAGACAGCTTTCCTCCAAGCTGTGGATAGTGGTGCCAGATATACAGTGCAGAGTTCTTCACTCTAGTGCAAGGGAGTGGAGCACTAAAACTCTCAGGTAGCTGCCAACGTTTATAGCTGAGAACCAGTGTTACTGCAGCTCAGCAATTTGAAGCCAATCTAATGGCATGAATCATTATCAGAGAAATGTTGTCTTCCTTGGCAGGTCTATTTTTTGAGCGAGAAACACATAGCTGTATAATCTGTATCTGGTGCTATATTTCCTTTTTGATTCATCATGCAAGATCCACGATAGTGTTTCCCAGATCGTTATGATACTTAAGAACTACAGTCAAATCCCGATGAGTCGAATCGCTGGGGACCAAGTAATAAATTCGACTTATCAATGTATTCGAGACATAGGTATGTCTATGAGGGTAGAAAAAAAGATGATCCAGTCCTAATTCCTCCACCTAAGCATTTGTGTACCTAATGATTTCCCTATCACTAATAGGGGCACCTTATCAGTTCCAGTCTGATTAGCACAGACAGTGATTTCCGTAAAATCACTAATCTGCCTTTTGAACTCACCTGTCAATGGCGGAAAGGTGTGAGCCGCGCTGGTTTGTGAATTGGATCAGTTTGCTACACCAATCAACTTCTCATTGACTGACTTCGGCTTATGTATACAATATTGCTTTTGTTTGAATGTCATGGGACCAAATTTCCTTCTCGAGTCATCGTGTGTATTTATGAGACCAATTCGTGTAACCGGTATTCAAATGATGAATATATAACAGGGAATGGTCGGGACCGACAGGTACTTCGAGTTATGCATAATATTGGAGACACCGGCATTCGACTCATCGGGGTTTGACTGTACTTTAGTATGAACGTTTGCTTTACCTTTAATGGAAATGGCTGATGGCAAACCTGGACATATATTTAAATCCTGACACATTTTTAAAACTTATCCTATCCCATGCTATGCACCTTTCTCATGGTCTTATGACCATGGAATGGAAACGACCAGACCAGCCACTTTAAACACCTCACCCAAACGGTAACCTCCCAAAACCCCTACATCCCATAACCCCTACAGCTTATAACAACAGAGTTCATGGTCCAGTGCACTGCTAATCTCCTGCCTGTTACCTATTTCATACAATGGACCAGCCCAAACACTTAGCATGATTTTAATGAGCAATAACCAAACTTAAGAGTTTGAGAGAATGGTTTTAATGGATGATAACAAAAGTATTTAACAAAAGTTCAATAATATTGAACTTGAGGTTTAATTAACTTCATTAAATATCATAATGTCATAACATATTAAATGGGTTTTTTATGTTTCATTTTTCTGCATATTATCTGTGAACCTCAAGCAAATTGGTTTTGCTATGTTCCATCCCCACGATCCTCATTTTGTTTGACTTTTTATCTTCGTACCCCCCAAAAAACGCAAAATCTGCAATAAATGCATCACAAACTTCAGGAAACAAAATATGCAAGAAACGTTTTGTGTGTTTGAGAGATTGATAGAAGTCCGCTAGAATCAAACTTAGATATTAAAGTGCATAAAAGGGGAATTTGAAACTACTGTCGCTTGTTAAAGTGATTCCCCTCTTCATGTTTACTGAAAGAGCTTGTTTTGGAGACACTACCGACCCCCTATCAGATGACGTAATCATAAGGACAACTTATTTTCATGTTTTCACTTATTCATACAAGGACACCCCCATTGTACATGATGCCAAGGGTTCAAACTAAATACTGAATGGTCACACAAATGTCAGCTCTCACTATATTGTAATCAGTGCCAGCTTGAATATCTGGACACAGCTTATGAAAGATTAAAATGGGGGTGTCCTTGAAAAACAGCCACCATCTAAATGTAAATCAAACAATGCAAACTTTGGAATGTTGATTATGACGGGTACCGTTAGTCATCCAATACTATACTGAACATATTTTATATAATATTATCTGAGGCATACCATTATCCAAGAGGTACCAAATAACAGATCGTTTTTCATTTTTTGCAATTTTTTAAAGAAATACTATACCCCAGTGTGGTGCGATATGTGAAATTTTGGATATGGTTTTGCTAATAATTTCTTCAAAATAATATGGAAGCTATGTACATCAGGAAGCTAAAAAAACTAGTTCAACATTTAATTCATTTCAATTATTTAAAATGAATTATCAAAACCCTAATAACAACAGCACAATCTTATTCCCTTCTAAGTCAGTCAGTCTGTATACTCTGTGCAGCTTAATCTCACACTGTATACTCCACCCTGTAATCTCTCCTTTGGGTTAGTTCATTATGCAAGACAGGTAAATGCCACGTGTTGTTTTAACTAATTATAGGGGTACTGGGCTGTAGGGGTTTTGGGAAACAACACACCCAAACACACCAACTCCCTGTTGAGGCTGCTCATGTATCATCCTCCAATCATTTGACTTCCAGCTATCTCAGTTCTCTTACTTGTTGCCATGAGTGAATATGTGTTGTCTTCCAGAGAACATTTTTCTCCAGAGACCAAAGGTACATCTTGTTTGCTTATTTTAGGAGAACACACAAGACCTGGCAAACTCAGAAGAGGAAGGTTTGTTGTACATGTAAATGCACATGTGCTACTCCTGACCCCCACTTTTCTAGTGTTGATTGTTGTGGCATTTATTCATATGATAAATGTTTCTCTGCTTGTAATCACCTTCATAATAAGATTTACATAAAGTTAGTTCTAAACACACTAAGGATAGAGAGACGAAGTGAGGTATTGTTTTTAGAATGTGATTGTAAATATTAGTAATTATAGTTGTCATATATGTGAGTGATAATTAGAGTACATGTCTTTGCTTTAATCTGGATGATTGGCAGTTATTAGATAGTATTAATAGTATTGTGGTAACCATATTGAATGTATTGCATATATGAGAGACATGTATTAATTGATGGATATTTTATCATTCAGGGCATATATTAGTTCAGTTATATGGACTGAGAGCCAACTGGGGATCTCCATATCCCACACTACCAGTTCCAGAATAAATCCCTAAAACTACACAAGTGTTCGTCTTCATTGAACTATCATCTACCAATACCTCTGTTACATATACAACGTGTTAAAGAATTTGGACTGTCTTCATCTAAGAAGTCTAAAAGAACCATGAACAAGGCACATTTTTTTTGTACGTCACCCTCTCTCACTGACAACGGTTTCGGTATATAAATGCTGTAAAGAAGTTGTCTGTCCATAAAAAATGTTTTTCTTCATCATACCAGTGCCACTCAAAGAAGTTCCACTTTTGGATCTTCGATCAACTCAGTCTTCTAAAGACTTGACATCATTCTTTGTTAGGAAATACATGGACATCAACAGCATACGGTTCCCACCTAAACCCATCATATTTCAGCTCTTGTTTCCACAAGATGATGCCTTTTGAGAACTCAAGAGGGTCTGTGATTGGTTTCTGAAAATTAACGTTCATCATGTTCATGGTTCCAACTCCCTGGTTGCATTGCCTCAGATAGATGTAGACATCAAGATGCTTTGTCCTAAATGGAATTATATACATTGAACTGATTCATATGGATGTCGCCTTTCGTCAAGTGCTACTAGCTATAAATATGATCTTGTCTGCATCCAGAGCCATTGCCATGTCAGTTGCTCCACCACATCTCGCAATCTAGATGTTGTATCGCTTATCCATGATCAAATCCAGATTATCTTGGATCAGGTTTCACAATTCCTGGGGTATCACCTGGCGTTTAAACACAGGACTTTTCAGTCATTCCAAATTGGATGATCACTATTAAGTAGAGACTTTTTTTCAGTTGTTGTCACTTGTGAATTTACCTGTCTTTGACCTTCATATTGGGCACAAAGATCATCTTCACACAGGGTACAAGTGAGGTGTTGAACCAACTGTTGGTCACAAGCTGGATATGATTTACCAGCTCAAGAGGCAAGCTAAGTACGACACAGAGGAGATCTGCACATACTTGCTCTCACAAGCAATGACGTTGGTGGAGAATTATTTGCAAGGCAAGGGCAAGATTTGAAGCATTCATCTCCCATGTTTCTTGACTATCTTGGATTCAGGGACTGGTTCAAACTCAAGTGGAGCAGGGTTGACATCATTCTAAGTTCTGCATTTGTTCTTTGGCATGATAACTCGGGACCTGCCCACTTCCTGGGAGTTTGTATTGAGTAACACTAAGGGGCTGTATTAGGCAACCCATCATGGGTGAGCCTACAACTGATGCTCAAGGATTTAGAAGTCGAGGCTGGCCTCTTGTAAACTATGCCACTCGTGGTTCCCATCTTCCTTCAGACGAATGTAATCTTCGGCCCGCCATCCAACCATGGGATAAGTGCATAAATGTCAGAGAGGATAAGTTATTAAAAATTTGAACAGTATATCTATAAATTGTATATTTATAAATACTGGTAGTTATCTTATCTCACATGATCAGCCCCACTATGCAGATTACTGGGATGTTTCTGACTCCAAGTCAAGAGAATGGAGATTCCATTCCATTGTTGGAATGTTCCCAATGACCAAAGTATCATTGGTACATTGGTATATTATACATATTGAACCAATTTGAAGGTATCATATACTTTTATTTCAGCACAAAGCTTAAAACATTTCTTGTTCTACTTTTCAGGCCAGTGTTTGGAAAAGTCCTGTCGTTATCAGAAGGTGACTTACTGACGGCTATAGATAATGAGAAGTCACAAGTTACAGTCATCATTCATATCTATGAAGAGGTTAGTGTATTGATTTATATGGAGAACAAGCATTTCAAAGGAGAACGAATCCTCTGATATATATCTTAAGCCAGTACTCTTTATTTCTGCACTTTATTTATTTTTCGTTTATCATATGTTTTATAGACTAACATCATCAAGTTCAGACCCTTGAGTGATACAAGGCTATCAGGCAAACACCAGGAAATCTAGAAGAGACATCCTTATGAAGCTGTATTAGATCTCTTTTCTCCAAAGTTGTCAAAAGAGTTTTAGATTTTGTGAACAGTATGGGTATAAACGTTTAGAAAGTGTAAAAAATAATCCTGGTCAATAACATTATGCCATGATTTTTTTAAGTCTTATATAAGTTAAATTACTGGATTAAATTTCATTTTTGATAGAAATTTGATGCCACAAAGCATTTATTTTACACTCACGTGCCTTAAACAGTTATGTTGGATAGGAACAAAAAGCAGCAACTACTGTTTATATACTGTACTTTTCTAAAGGCACTCCCACTTGACATGTGATCTCTCACTGCTAGGAAATCATTAACAGGAAATACCCGTTAAAAAAATCAGGAAAGTTCTTATTATATAAAGTAAAATTCAACAAAAAACTGAAAGTTTGGCGCTGGACACAAATCATACCCTCAGTTTGCCTGTGAAGTGAATATCGCAGGCTGCATGCTGTTACAATGTTTCTTGAAAATTATGCCATTGTTTAGTTATGTTTCAGAAACAAAAATTTCTTTAATATATTTTGAATGATATGCCCAATATGTATGAAAGTAAACATGACTGTAGTTTCAAACAAAAGTATTAAAACACACAAAGCAGCTTTTGCCACAAATGAAAAATATATGAACTTTCCAAATAAATGCAAGCACAGTGGGTTTTTTAGGTTTTATAGTACTAATCTCTGCACATGTAATCATGTCCAACTGAAAATAGTGAAATAGTAAATGGAGCTACCCATGAAGGTCCGGGTAAGAATTGGTCTTCAGCAACCCATGCTTGTCATAAGAGGTGTGTAACGGGATCGAGTGATCAGACTCGCTGACTTGGTTGGCACACGTCATCGTATCCCGATTGGGTAGATTGATGCCCATGCTGTTGATCCCTGGGTTGTCTGGCCCAGACTCAATTATTTGCACACCGCCACCATTTAGATGGAATATTGCTGAGTGCGGCGTTATCCCCCTGGATGCCACAGGGACAAATATATCCTTCCCCTTCAACCCTCACTTTGAAGTCCAATAAAATTCTAAATATATCACGCACACAAATACACTTCAATGTCTTGAATTTTGCGGGAAATTCCCTGTTTCTTGATACCATCCACTATTATCTCAGACAAGCTAAAGTGCTTAAAATAACCTTTCAAAATATGCTTCATCGTAAATGTCGCCATTTTTGACACAATACGAAATTGCGATTCACAGCGTCATTTGCTGTATGTTTTGAAATGTGAAAATCGGATGATTATTGAATTTCAAAAATAGCATATTAATGATCACTGATATAAGTTTTCATGAAATCACTAGTGATAATTCTGAAATGTTACCGACGAACCTAGAATCGGTTGGGATGTTTTCAAAAATACATTTACATGAACGCCGAAGTGCGCTTTCCGCCACATTGGATAGTGTTTACAAAATCATGTTTCGCAAAGGCCGGTAGTGAGATGCCTATTACATCAAGTATATTTCATATTCAGTTGGGACAAATGGATCACTGAATTCCCCATACAGTTTAGAATCAAATTACAACTGGTCTTTGTCACCAATACCAACTGTCTAGATAAAATGAAACAAAAGATATTGGGTGCAAAAAACAGATGCTGTGCTCAAAAGAATGCACTTGTTTGAAATGTAAACAAAGAAAAATTCCGATTTTACACTGCGTAGCATTTTCTGAAATTTTCCCACATCCAACTGTCTATTCATTGCTTGCAATGGCTCAATGCCTTAAGAATATGCATGGAAAGAGTATCATAGCAAGGAAGAGGAAATTATTAATAGATACATTGCAATGATCTGATAATTCATAAGAAATTGTCACGGTTTCCGTGCAGCGTGACGACATGACTGACGCAAAATCACGCACAATGACAACAGTAATTATCAGCATTTCTGGCTTCTTCTCTTACTTACAATGAAACGATGAGAAGATATAACAATACACAGATAGTCAGAATCATTCTGATTACTTACATCTCATATTTATGTACAAACGATCCCTGAATCAAGGGAAGAGTCCTCACAAAATTCTGTGTACCCTTGTCCTCGAAGCCGCCATTTTGTAAGGAATTGGTCATTGGTAGTGATGTCATATGTCAACATTGTTGTACATAATAGGCAATTTCATTGAGGTGAAGGTCGGTTGAACAAGAGTAATCACAATCGCCCTATCCTTCCGATTACACTTTCAGTATTATGATGTATATTTTGTGTATTGTTCGGATATTTTTTCATGAAACTAATTTAAGTATCTACATTTAGCCTTGTTCAATATCATATCATACATGGATATACACAAATGTTAGAAGATCAAACGTAGCCATAAGTGCAACATGTACTTTAGTTCCTATGATCTACAATATTCAATACATTGGGACTAATATTGCAGTTTCATATGAACAGGTTAATGAACAGCAATTTAATTCAGCCTTATAAGTAATACTGATAATATTAATGGAAATGATTTATTGGACTGTTGAGCGTTAGTCAGAAACGTTTTATGATTCACTCTCATTGTTTCCGATAATATAATCAATTCATATTCCATTGAAACATTATTGTGATGACAGGATATGAAACTCTAACAATATTTATACGAAATTTGTTTTAAAATATATAAACCATGTCATGTCTTAATTTGGACAAACCTTACATCCATATAGAACAAGCATATATGGATGAATACTTCTTTTTATTCTAGAGCACAATGTTTTGATACAGGTTCTTGTATCGTTTTCAAGTGAGAATGGTACAGGGAGAGAACAGGTGATATATATACAACAAGACTAATTAACAAGGCAAGACTGAATAACAATGTGATGATAACAAATAAAGGGATAACAGAGGATTACAGGAATAAACACAGAGGCCAGTGGAAGCCAATGATACACAGAGCATAGAATGTATACACGATTAACAATGTGATGATAGTGAATAAAGGGTAGCAGAGGACAACGGGGATACACATAGAAGCCAGTAGAAGCCAGTAATGTTTATACGAGAGGCTAGGGTTGATTGATGAGCTCATCGTATGCAGTGGGGATAAAGTAGCCTTGATGTCTATTAATCAGTGGTCGGTATCGTTTGATGTTAATTCCTTCAGTTATCTTGCATTTGGTAAAGTCTGATTGGTTTGTAGCGAGGATGGTGAAGTCAGTCCAGTTGATTTGGTGATTGGGATGAGTTGCTATGTGGTCTGATATGGCTGATTTCTGGTCCGATTTGATGGTTGAAGTCTGATGTTCCTTGATTCTGGTGTTGACGGGCCTGGATGTTTCTCCTATGTATGAGTGTCCACAATTGCAGTCAATTTTGTAGATTACAGCTTTGGGATTGGGTTTCTTGGTTTGTGGGTATTTTCTACCATTGGCTTGCAGGAGGTTGTTGATGGTGGCGAAAGTTGAAAAGGTGGTGTCTGTGCCTGCTTGTTGCTTAAGGAGCCTGCTGATCTGGTGGGAAGGTTTGCCGATGTATGGGATGGAGATCTTTATAGGGTCAGATTCAGGTCGAGGAATTTTAGTAGTAGATGGTGATAATGTAGCTGCAATTGTCCTGTTCACTAACTGGGGTGGGTAGTGGTTAAGGCTGACAAATACTTCTTTCAGGTGGTTGATTTTGTCATGGAGATTCGTAGAACAGATGTTCTTAGCTCTTCTGGTAAGCGTGGAGATGATGCCTTACTTCACTCGTGGAGGGTGGTTGGACTGATAGTGGACATACTGGTTGGTGTGAGTAGGTTTCCAGTATACAGATGTCTGAAGTTGGTTGGAATCGGTGCGGGATACAAGGATGTCTAGGAATGGGATCTGGTTGTTGGTTTCAGTCTCCATGGTGAATTTAACTCTTGGATGTTGCTTGTTCAGGTGGTCTAGCAGCTCAACAGGGTCGTTGTCGGGTTTCAGAACCACAAATGTGTCGTCCACCTTCCGATACCAGCACATAGGTTGGAAATGTAATGTGAGGAGGGCTTTCTCTTCTAGGTCTGACATATATATATCAGTGAGGATTGGTGATAGTAGTGAGCCCATAGGTAGTCCATGTATTTGTTGATACCGGTATATATCGTCACCCCATGTGAAGTAAGTGGAGTCGATGCAGGTTGAGGTGAGGTTTATGATTGAGTCTATGGAAAGGCTGGTGTCGAGTGGCTGTTCAAGTTGGTTCAGTCGTTCTTGTAAGGCTAGAAGGACTTCTTCACATGGAACATTAGTTAACAAGTCGACAACGTCATAGCTGACGATTGGACCAGGATCAGATAGTTCACGCAGTTTAGAGCATAAGTCAGTTGAGTCTGTATTGAAGGATTTGGCTGTTTTACCTGAGGGTGATAGAACATGAGTAAGATGCTGAGCGGTATTGTAAAAAACAGTATCACGAGAACAAACAAGGAGGCGAGTTTTCACAAGATTCTTATGGATCTTAACTGTAGCCCTGGCATAAGGGGCCTGGGGATGGGACACTGACAGTTTACGGTGCAAGTCTATATAAAGTTCATAATTGTCACGTAGGGTCTTAAGGTGGGCCTTGTGTTGCCGGTCGAGTTTAGCGTTGGGGTCCTTCCGGAGCTTCTGGTAGGTGGAGCTGTCCTGCAGCATGCTGTCAACCATGGGGTGGAAGTGGGCCGATCTAACACCAAAGTGGCTCTGCCCTTGTCTGCTGGGACACCGACGATGTCTGGGTCTTCCTTTAGTTGTTTGATGGCCTGTCGGTCAGATGGTTTTAGGTCGGTCGGTCGGATAGTGTTACATCCATATTCTAATAGTTCCATACAAAAACT